GCCCCGACCGGTTGGCCGGGAGCGACCCGCCCCCGTTTGGGAGCGACCTGAGGCCCTCGGAGCGCCCGGCCTGGGCGCCCGGGCGCCCCCCCTGGGCGCGCCCTTCGGCGCGAGCAGGGTCAAATATGGAGGGGGAAGGAGAGGAGGGGCCGGTGAGATACGAGCCAGGGCGAGGAGTTAACGGGCGTGTTGGGAAGCAGCAGGCGGGTCCTACAGGTGTTCATTTCGGGGCGGGGGCTTCGCGTTGCGGGGGTATCCCGGTGGACCTCTCGCCCTCGACCCCCTTTTCGCTACCGCCCCCGATCGCCCCAGGCGCGCCCACCTCCTCTTGGTCATCTCATCCGCAGCCATCTCCCACTCCAGAGCGAGGCGCGCGAGCAGCGCGCGCACCCCAGCCTCGCGCGCCAGCCGCGCCTCCGCCCCGCGCTCCGGCAGCGTGCATCATGGGATTCCTGGTGGGCCTGGTGGCCCCGGACCAGAGCAAGGCGCGCGGCCATGACTACAGCATCATGGCGGTGAACCCCCTCGGCGTCGTCGTCTCGGGGGCCGCGCTGTCGGACGAGCTCCGGAGTGCCGCCCACAACATCCTGTACACGGTGGTGGACGAGCTGGACAGCGAGGACCTCGTCGAGGTGGTCAACCACGACCACGAAGCAGCCCCGTGCATCGCGGCGGCTTGCCTGGCCGCGGGGGCGAGCGAGGGCCACGGCCAGCTGGTGATCGTCGACGGCAAGCGGGGCGCGTGGGGAGTGGGCGCGGGGCCGAATATCAAGGTCCAGCGCCAGGCGGCCAAGCTGGCGCTCGCCTTGGCCCAGTTCCAGGGGCAGCCCATGCCGGAGCTCCGCGAGCTCTGCAAGAACAACAGGGGGCTGCTCGACATGATGCGCACGGTGGACGCGGAGGCGGTCGTGGAGCTCACCGACGTGGACGACGCCTCGAGCAGGGGCGAGGGGAGGTCGACCCCAGCCCCGGTCCTCGAGCCGGGCGAGGACGCCGTGACCGCGGCGCTGGCGCGTGCGGCCATCCAGGCTGCAGCGCGGCGCCAGAGCAAAGGCGCCCCAGTGCGCGGCCCCCGCGGTCCCCGGGGCAGGAGCGCCTCGCCGAGGAGGTCCGCAAGCGTGAGAGGCGCCCTGCGCCCTTGCGCTCGCCCTCGCGCGCGAGGCGCCGCGATCGCGAGCGCGATGAGCCTCGCGATCGCGGGCGCAGGGGGCGGGGGGAGGAGGCCGTCCTGAAGCCCAAGACGGGGGGCGCCCCCCCGAAGGCCGACATCGTGAAGCGTGAGGCCGTCCTGAAGCCCAAGAGCGGGGGGGCGCCGCCGCGGTCCTTCGAGGTGAAGACTGAGGTGGAGGAGACGGCGGCGCCAGGCGCGGGGGACGGTCCGCCCCAGCGCCAGCCGCGCTCGAGGAGCCGCCGTAGGCGCAAAGAGGAGCAGCGCCAGGGCGCCCAGCAGCAGCCCAGTGACCAGCACGACGAGGGCGAGTCCATCATCCGCATTGAGCGGGTACCGCACCACGTCGACGCCGAGGTGGTCAGGCAGGTGGTCGTGCCCTTTGGGGTCGTCAAACACATCGCCTTCCTGTACGACCACCGCCACAAGCGGGAGCCGTGTGTGCTCGTGGAGTTCCAGCGCCGCGCTGATGCAAAGCGCGCGCGGGAGTGCATGAGGTCGAACTATCGGTTCTACAAGACGGACCCGTGCACAGTGGTCACGGAGTGGGCGAGTCGACCTCGCGGCCCTGACCCAGGCAGCGACGGGGAGGATGGCCCGACCATCCAGCCGCCTGCCTGCCCGACGTGCGCTCTCAAGATGCGCTGGAGCTCCTTTGACCCGGGAGACGGTTGGGGTTGCGAAATGTGCCCCGCGGGCGGAGCTAACAGCGGAGCCCTGCGGTGGCACTGTAAGGGGTGCGACGTGAGCTACTGCGAGGCTTGCCGCGTCGCCTTCGGCAAACCCAAGACGGTGGTGGAGAAGGCCCGGCAGAGCGGCCACACCGTGCGGGAGGCGCCGGGCCCCAGTGCCGGCCACGGAGAGCGCCCCAGCACGGGTGCCACGGGTGCGGGGGCTGAGGGGGACCGCCCGCCAGGCGACCTCAGCTGGCCCAAGCGCGAGAGGTCGCCCAGCCGCAACCGGCCCAAGCGCGAGAGGTCGCCCAGCCGCAGTCTGGCGCGGGACCCAGCGTGGGCGCGGCGCGGCGACACCCCCCCCGGCCGCACGCGGCGTAAGACCGGGAAGCACGCTGGGCAGCTTCGCGCTCCTCGCGGCGGCTGGTACGAGCAGGAGAAAAAGCGGCGGCGTGCTGCCGCTGCGGAGGCTGCCGCGGGCGGGGGTGGGATCCCAGCCTGGCGTGGCAAGGGCGCGGGCGACAAGGGCGGCAAGGGCGGCAAGGTCAAGGGCAAGCACTCCGGCAAGGCCGCCAAGGGCACCAAGAGCGGCGGCAAGGGCGACAAGAGCGGCAAGGGCGGCCACTCCAAGGGCGACCAGGGCAGCCGCGGCCGGAGTGAGCGTGACAGGCCCAGCGCGGGCGGTCGCGCGTCGAGGGGCGGCGATGGCGGCAGCCCCCGGGACCACAGTGAGCGCGGCGGAGACCGCAGCGGCGACGAGAGCCGCGATCGCCAGGGGAACACGCCATCCATCTAGGCGTGGAGCACCCCACATCCCGACGCCAGCGCCCGCGGCATCGCGGGCTGCGGTCTGAAGACGGCGGCCCATTGAGGCGGACCGCTACTCGGTACAAGCCCGTGAGTGAGCCGGCTTTCCTCTCAGCCTACAGTGCGCAGGTGGCGCCTGCGATCCTTTCAGCCTACGGTACGCAGGTGGCGCCTGCGATCCTCTTTCTTTTAGCCTACGGTACGCAGGTGGCGCCTGCGATCCTCTTTCTTTTGAGGATTTTGAACGTTGCGCGCACGTCGCGCGCTTCCTGGACCCGGCCGCGCTGCGCGTCCTGCGCGCCGTGCGGTCGGGGCCACACTTGCGCTCTGCGCCCGGCGCATCATGCGCCGCTCTTTTCTTGTTCTTTTGCGCGCTTCGCGCACGCGCCGCGCCCGCGCTCTGGGTGCGCGGGGCGCGGAAGGCCTCGAGGTTGCAGGCAAGTGGCCGCGCGCGCGAGGCTCTTGCGGCCTCAGGATCCGCCCTCGCACTTCGGGCTGGGCGTCCCCGCGCGCGCGGCTGCGCGCTCTCTCTTCTCATGGCCAAGCGGCCGCAGGCGTGCCAGAGCGCGAGCGCGCGGTCCGTCGGGGCCCACGCGCTCGCGTCGGGCGTGGGCCGTCAGGGCCCACGCCCAGGTGGAGATGCGCGTCGCCGCGCTGCCATGAAAATACCATCGCCCTGTCCTGGTCCCTCTCTCGTCCCCTCCTCTCCTCCTCTCCCTCCGTTGAGTGCGCGCGTATCTCACTTAACTTGTATGGTCTGTTTGGTTGTAGACTGCAGGTTAAGTGGGAGGGGGTGTGGGCTCAGGTAGCCATTTTGGGTCCGTAGCGTTCGGCTCTGGCCGACGCGCGGGTGCCCACCCGCCCCGCTTTGCTCCCAGACGCCTGCGCGGGCCAAGCGGCCGCAGGCGTGCCAGAGCGCGAGCGCGCGGTCCGTCGGGGCCCACGCGCTCGCGTCGGGCGTGGGCCGTCAGGGCCCACGCCCAGGTGGAGATGCGTGTCGCCACGCTGCCATGAAAATACCATCGCCCTGTCCTGGTCCCTTTCTCGTCCCCTCCTCTCCTCCTCTCCCTCCGTTGAGTGCACGCGTATCTCGCTTAACCGCCCGTCTGCCCGCCCCCCGTCCCCTTCCCGGGCGGCGGCCACCGCCCGGGCGTCGCCGACGCCTCCCGTGCTGCGGCGCGACCCTCCGGCCACCCAAGGTGGCTCCCGTCCTCGGCCCCCGCCCCGCTTCTCTTGTCCCCCTTTCGTTCGGGGGTCCCCACACGGGGTGGTGACCACACCGTGCGGTGAGTCAGTGGGGATTCGGGGTCGCCGCCGCACGGTTTTGGGACTCGGGTCGTTCTCCGAGGACGTCTCGGGCGACGGGCCTCCAGGGTCCCAAGACCGTGCGGTGACGGACCGTGCGGTGAGGTCTCTTGGGGTTCCGAGGTCACCGCACGGTCTGTCACCGCACCGTTTCGGGACTCCAAATTCATCTGCAGAGGTTCGGGGTTGGACAGGCCTCCTGCCCTGACACGTCGATAAGCGAATTGTCCGTTTTCGGTTCGCGAGAGGGCGTCGAGGCCGTCACCTGTGCGGGTCCAGGTCCGTCGGTTTCGGTCCTAGGCAGTTTTCATTACAGGGAGGTTTGCTGAAGGGAGGCTTGTCCACCGCCGAGAGGTGACAGGTCTGCTGCTGTTCGAGAGTCGTGGCCAGGGGAGCGGCTCACGCGTTGTTCGCTCGCGTCCCAACCGGCCAAGCCTGTCCCTCACCTTATGATGCTCCAACCTAGTTTAGCCGTAACCACCAGAAAGAATTTGGAGCACCAGAAAAAATACCGAAACTCGAGGGTTTTCATGCGTCGGGCCCCGGGAGAGACACGCGTCCGACACTGTTGCGACACCGTTTCGGCATTCTCTCGCCACTTTTCTGGGTGCTCGAACTTTTTTTCTGGGATGTGGTCCGTAAGTACGCTGGGAGCAACACAACCAAGTGCGCCCTCGAGGGCGCGAAGTTACTCGCGCTTCGCGCTTCGCGGCTCGGCTCCGATTCCTCCTCGTCCTCCTCTTCTCCCCTGGGAGGCGGCGCGCGAGCGCGGAGTTATTCGCACTTCGCGCTTCGCGCAGCGCGAAGCTCAGGAGGGAAAAAACCCACAGACACAATTCATCCTCGATTCCCCAGAAAATATGGGAAAATGTGGGAAGTGGGGGGGAAGACAGAAGCCCAGAAGGTATGGGCAAATATGGGGATTTTTTTTTTTATTTGTGTGTATTTATTTGTGTGTCCTGGGGCCCCTTCAGAAGCGCGAAGTTGGGAGCCCTTGAGAACCCTCCCCCCACCACTCCCCCGGCGGCGGCGGCTCCCCGCGGCAGGAGAGCGTGCCGCCCCAGTACTGGCGCGTGAGCCTGCAGGACCCCATCGGGGGACGGCCCCCCCCCCCGCTCGGGCGCGGGGCCCCTGCGGGGGGTGCGCAGACGGGGGGGGGGGGGTCCCCCGGGGCCCGGGAGGAGGAGGAGGAGGAGGAGGAGGAGGGAGGAGGGGGAGGAGGAGGAGGAGGAGGAGGAGGAGGAGGAGGAGGAGGAGGGAGGAGGAGGAGGAGGAGGAGGAGGAGGGGAGGAGGAGGAGGAGGAGGGGGGGGAGGAGGGGGGAGGAGGAGGAGGAGCAGGAGGAGGAGGAGGCTCCTCCGATCTGGTGCGGCGTGTTGCTCGCTGCACGTCGCTGCTGTGCATTTGCCAGCGCGGCCGAGTCGGTTCGATTTCGACTCGGGGCCGCTGCGGCCCCGGTCCGACGCACGTCCCGATGCGATCCGATTTCCCGACTCGATGCTGACTCATCCTGGGTTTGTGGTCGTACATCAGCGCAATGCTGCCGCCGCCTCCTTCGCTGCCATATGCTGGTGCCATTTGCGTTCAACAACGGCGCTGTTGGGCTACGCTGGCGGTTTTTGTTTCCGCTGTCCCAGCCTCTAATCTTTTTGTAGTTCAGCCAGCTACAGCATCTGCAGTAGTCTCAATGATCAACCGCTGTGTGGGGCCTTCCCAGGTGTGTTGCGCTTCTCAGACGCCTCCCAATGATTCAATCTTTCTCATCTTCCTCCCCCGTATGTCCCCCTCCTTGGACAAGCTGCTTGAGCCAGAGCAGAGGTCTAGGCCAGCATGAAGCCGGCGCATTGGTGACAGCTAGACGGATGGACGGCGAGATGTGTTCGCTTTCCCTCCAGCCCTTTCCTGGTCTCTCGGTCGTCCAAAGTCCAGGGGGCGTCAACTGACCGCCTCACTGGTCGCCTGGCCACGCCGGCCCTGGGGGCACCAGGATTGGGTGCGTGCATGTGCCCAACCAGCCAAGCCATGGGGGCACACGCACCGATCCCTGGCCAGGAGGGGCCTCGCCGAAGACGGCGAGGTGGCCAGCTGACGCTCCCCGGTTTCGTGGGTGCCCCGGACGTCGTGGGTAATCCGGGCCTCCCGAACACGGTCGAACCAGACGGGGTGGAAGGATCGCGCCGCATCGCCGATGCATCGGCGATGTGGCTCGATGCGGAGCCCGATTTTCTCGACGCCGACGTCGGCGTTGCACCGCCGACGTCGCCGCTGCATCGCCGACGGAGCCGCGAGATGCACCGCCGGTGCAGCGCGATCCTCCGAACCCAGCTGCTCGGACCCCGTTGGGGGGAGGCCTCTAGGCTTAAGTCGGGCTTGTCCCTCTACAGGGGGGAAATTCAAAAATAGTCAAAAAAATAGTCAGGGGATTTTGTTTTTGAGTATTTTTTAACCATCCTGGATTTGTTTTTTGAATATTTTGTATTTCTCGTCGAAAATCCCCTTGTAGGGGGACACGCCCGACTTAGCTCTAGGCACGCCGGCCCCGCGCCGCAGGAGTGCCTGAGCGGCTGCCCGCCGCTCGACGCGGAGCTGCAGCTGTGGGCGGGGGAGGGCGTCCGGGCCCAGCTGAGGCGTGGCTCCCCGCCGGCCGCGGCGGTGCCCAGGAGGGAGGTGGGCCGGGATGGGTGGCCCGGGTCGCGGGCCAGGGCCCGTCTCGATTCGACATATCCGACCTCTCTCTCGATGTGTATGTATATGTATATGTATATGTATGTGTATATGTATATGTATATGTATAGGTGTATGTATATGTATAAGTACAGGTATATGTATATGTATATGTATATGTATATGTATATGTATATGTATATGTAATGTATATGATGAAGTGAGAGTTTCAACGAACGGGTTTTAATGTATAGTGTGTTCGGTCCAGCTAGCTCTTGTTGCAAACGTCACTCTGCAGCTTTTCGGGATCAATCGCAGCGATGAAGGCCTAAGGGGCCAAGGCTCGCGGTGTCCCTCCCAGGTAAGCAGATGTTCTAGTCACACATGGTCCCCGCACCTGGGGACAGCGACGCCATGGCCGGAGGCCTCCTGCGCTGGTTGGGCCCGCGGGCGCTCACTGGAGCAGGAGTGGTGCTGGCTCTGACTTCAGTGAGAGCAGAGACAGGTCGAGGGGCCCTAGTCCGCATCGGCCTGGGCGTGGTGTTTGCGCTCGCGGGGCAGCTCTGGCTCCTGCTCCGCTACGTGCTCGAGTGGTGGAGCCAGACCACAGGCAAGGAGAAGGAGATCGAGGAGCTGAGGGCGCAGCTGGACGCCTTGAGCTTGGGGGGCACTTCGGCGGAGGGAGAAAGAGGCGCTGCCGCGCCTGCGCTCCCGCCCGTGCCATCCTCGGGGCCGCCACCGCCGCTGGGAACCGCCGCGGGCGGACCGCCGGGGCTACGCGGCCCGCCGCCAGGCATGGCCCTGCCAGCGGCGCCAGGGGCAGGAGCTGACCAGAGCATGGACGCCTTCCACGCGTTCGGGCTGGGAGCGGCGGACGCTGGGCCGCTCGCTGTCCTGGACGGGAGCTCCAGCGGGCGCAGCCCCCCCAGCGCCCACGGCGGCGCCTGCGGGCGCGCCAGCGTTGGGAGCCCCTCCAGGGCTGAGCCCAGGCGGTCCTGGTCAGCAGGCGGGCTCACTGGCGGCCCAGTGCGCCATGCAGGTGAAGGAGTACTTGATGAAGATGCATGGCAGCGCTTCCACCAACCCGTGGTGGGCCACGCACTTCTGGCAGGGCGTGTCGCAGCTGGAGGCCGGAGGAGGACTGGACCCCGCAGTCAGGGCGGGTCTGGCCGCTCGTGGCTACATCGGCGGCGACACCAAGGCACCGCCCGACGTGGACGCGCTGAAAGTGGTGCTGGACGGCTTCATCAATGCTAACGACGGGATGTTCGGAGGCACCTTCGGCGCTCCCGCCGTGTCAGGGGGGCAGGAGATCGACCTGGGCCCACGCGCTGCCGCCCGACTTCAAACGAGCTGGGGTGGAGATATATCGGAATATCAGGGCGGCGGGCAGCACGAGTGTACGGCACTGGCTCCAGCAGCAATATCAAGGATTTCGAGTAGGAGAGCAGTGGCAGGCCCTGTGGGCCACAGCGGCCACGCTGGACTTCGAGCTGGGCAAGTGCGCCTCCGACGCTGCGCTCATGGTGGTTTTGACGGGCAACGACAATGTGGAAATAGGGCTCAGGCACTTGTCGGCGTATGTGTACGAAGCGAGGACCCACGACAAGATAGGGGCTGCAAGGCTCAGGGCGGTCACCGCCCCGGGCAGTGGTGTGGACATCGCGCCGCTATGGCTCATCAACGAGGCGACGTCCCACAGCAAGATGGAGCATCAGAGGGCAGAGCGAGTTGCAGTTGAGCTTCGGCGACGCGGCCCGAAGGGGGATCCCAAGGGAGACTCCAAGGGTGGTGGCCGAGGCAGTGGTGGCGGCAAGAAGAAGGAGGGGGGCTGACGCCTCCCCCCTGCTCCTCCCTCGGAGCCGCGGAGGGGGGAGGAGCGACGTGGCGCTCGGCCAGAGCAGCGGCAGGGAGTCCCTCGGCGGGATCGGGCCTCCGTGAGGGGCTCGGTCAGGCCGCGCCTCAGGTGCGGCGCGCCGCCGAGGGGATGCGAGGAAGTGCGGTGGCGAGCCAAGCGTGAGGGTCAGTGTGATGAGGCGGAGACACAATCTACTTCGAGGTTTCCTCCGCTCTCGGATGTCGCCGCCGCTCTTGGTGCCAGCGAAGCAGTTCTACCAGTGGCGTTATTACCTCGGCCAGGTCGGGTGTCGACGCGCTCGGGCAGGAGTAGGCAACGTTTGCATCGGAAATACGAGCTACACAGGACGGCGAACAACATCTAGAGGACTCTCAACGCGACTTACCTGGGCAGCATGAAGCAGACCGCACTGATGCAGCAGAAGAGTGAGAGTTTTTGAAGGAGAGCTCTGCAGCTGGGCTGGTCCAGAGGCTCTCAGTCGAGAGGGCCAAGGAGCAGCTCTATGTTCGCCGGCTACGCCCAGCGACAGGCGTACAAGCGACGTTCGAGCTTTTGAAGTTGGACCAGATCGGCTACAGGAGGGTGCACAAACGGGACGTTCACTCGGACTTCGTTGCGAGCCGGGTGGATGAGGTGACGACGACCAAGGAGGTCCCGCTCTTGTGCGCGCTGCCGCCCGCCGAGGCGGAGTTCTACAGTCGCGAGGAGAATGTAGTCGACCTTGCGGGCATGTCCATGGTGCAGGTGGAGGAGCAGGAGAGGCAGTGCGGTTTCTTCGAGGCAGGATCGAACAGTGGATTGAATATCTACATCGGTCGGACATACCTGCTAACCTTTGGACGTTCGTGAGGGGGGGCGAGGCCAAGACAATAAGTGGAGTCTCAGCAGTATTGAAGAAGGATGGGTACAAGTTGCGAAAGCTCATCATGGCAGTACCTGCGAACTTCTTGTGGAGCGATGTGCGTCATCGGGCTGACCGCGGTCTGGGAGGAGGAGGAGCGCTCACCATGATGAGGGCGCCTGGTCTGGAGTTGCACATGGCGAGATGTGATGAGAGCAGCGCGTTTTCTTCAGTATCCCTTCCAGAGTGGGTGTGGCCGTGGATGGCCACCCCGGCAGTGCCAGCCTTCTTGGTCTGGAATCTGCTCAGCCCTGCTATGCGGGCTGGCCTGCGTGAGTGGGACGCTGTGTGTCCGTGCTACACCAGACTTCCCATGGGGCTGTCACACGCGGTGCGCGTCCTGATGGCCGTCAACCTGGAGGCCGTCGGCAGAACCTTGGTGCGATCGGCTGCCCTGCTCGAGGGGCGACCTGCTCTTGGGGCCAAGGCGGCCGAGGTGCCGGAGGACCCAGTCGTCGAGGACGTGGAGTGGTTCACGGCTAAGGCCAAGGCCAAGCTCGAGGCGGGAGAGGATGCAGGACTGTCTCCCGGGGAGTTCCGTGAGAAGGTGCGCTTCCTCAAGAGGGAGCGCGACAGGGTCATCGTGGCCATGCGCGTCTTCGCGGGGAGTCGGGGGAAACTGGGTGTCCAACATTATGTGGAGGAGTTCGCGGATGAGTATGGAGTCCCACTCTTTTTCTTTGGAGTCGATCTGGCGTGTGATCATCGTTGGGACCTCGCTGATCCAACGTTGATTGCGATGCTGCACGAGATGATCGAAGATGGCCTGGTAGATATCCTGTTGGGGGCCCCTCCCTGTGCTACGTGGAGCCGAGCTAGGTTCCAGCCAGGGGGCCCCAGGCCCTTGCGTTTTGCGTTTTCGTCATCGCCCCCTCGGACGGCCAGATCTAACGATTGCCGAGAGGGAGCGGGTGACGGGGGCCAACGTGCTGCTCTTTAACTTCCTGGCGCTGTGCGACCTCATCGAGCGGTGCGGGGGCGGCTACCTAGGGGGGCACCCTTCGGGCCCAGAGGTTGAGCCCATGCCGAGCATCTGGGACCTGGGTGCAGTCAAGGGCATGTTGGAGCGGCACGGGCTGAAGCTGGTGAAGATCGATCAGTGCATGTACGGAGGGCCGTCGCAGAAGCCGACCTCGTTGGCCTCGAACTTGGATGGGATAGGAGATCAGGCTCTACGTTGTGACGGCCAGCATCGGCATGAGCGGGCTTACGGCAATAACAAGCTGGGCATCTTCAGGTCGAGGCGGCTCCAGGCGTGCCCCCCAGGGCTGTGCCGCATGGTTGCGCAGAGTGTGGTCAGGACGGCGCGCAGGCTACTAGTCTCGGGGAGGGGGCCTGGAGGATGGTTCCGCACGGGCCGTGAGAGGCCCCGACATTCTCAGTGGAGTGTGGGTGGCGACGGTGCAGGGCTCTTTGTGATGAATGAACAGTGCTACAAGGGCGGAGCAGTCTGCTTGGAGCCAGGGGTCCGCGCGATCTACGTGCGCGTGGACGATGGGCTGTGCTCAGCTGCTTCGCCGAAGGGTGGCTCCGCGCGGCAGGAGAGCTGGGAGATGATGACCCAGGTGGCCGACGCGTGGGGGCAGGCAGGCTTCGTGGTGACGGAGCGTGGGGAGGTCTCGGAGGGGAGCAAGATCGCGGGCTACGAGCTGCAGAACTTCCCGCCCCGCCTGAAGCTGGCGAGTGCCAAGGCCAGCTACTTGGAGGCGGGGCTCGCGTGGATCCTGGATGCGCCGCTGGTGGGCGTCGAGCTGCTGCGGGCCCTTGTCGGCGTCTGGCTGTGGGGGGCTCTGCTGCGCCGGGAGCTCATGTCCATCCCTGCCGCCGTCTTCGACTTCTTGGAGAAGAGGCAGGGGCAGGTCGTCAGGTGGTGGGTCTCGGTGAAGAGGGAGGTGCGTGCCATGAGACGTGATCCCGCTCATGACGTGCTCGCTGGATTTGCCCGCGGCCCCAGTCCTGTTTGCCTCCGATGCGGAAGGAGCTAATCGTGACGACCACGGAGGGTATGGGATAGTGGGCACCAGCATCTCGGTCCAGGAGGCCGAGGGCGTCATCAAGGCGGGAGTGCGTCCAGGTCATACAGTCTCACGTCTGGCCGGGTCAGTGGTTCATCTCAATCGAGCGGATCGTGAACTTCGAGGGCGCATCCTGGTGTCGCGCATCCCGCGCGAGCTGCTGCAGATCCCTCAGGGCATGTGGAGAGA